TATTTTCAATTTTACTTAGCTTAAAAAAAATCACAGCTGGATGGCATTTGACAGACACACCCTTCTCACTCATCCAGTTAGGACTATAAATAAATGCCGGAGTAGATGCAAAGAGGCAAACATTAATTTTCATGAGAAATAAATCACATTGCTCCTTTATATATTTTCCTTCCATGACACAGAACTGATAATGTTGAAGGCTGATGCACATCATGGTGATGATGTAGTTTTGTAGATAATTTCAGTAGAGACATAACTAGAACCCTGAAACTCCTCAGACTCAAGGAGGAAAAAAGGTGAAACAAGTAACAGAATTGGTTTTTTTCTCAGACTTGTAATGATGTATGAGCACAAATAAGAAATAGAGTGATGTAATGATAGGACAAGTTCAGAAAGGTCTTTGATTCATATCTTACTTCGTGTTTAGTCAAAAGATTTTAAGTGTTGCAAAGGCAGTAAGCAGTTCCATGTACCTTACTATTGCTGGATTTAAGATGACTGTGTTTAGCTGTAGCATAATTCAAGTTTGAAACTGGCAGTGTTTAGCGTAATTGAGAATATAGAAAGGGGCATAATTGAAATAGTGGCAAACCAGATTGTTACAATTCAGGTAAATAATATTTAAAACCAAGGAAGGATAAGAGCCAGAAAGAGCATTTCAATATTCAAGACAGTTTTAAGCTCAATTTTGTTCTTCAGATTCCCATTTTTAAAGAGATTTTTGCAGACTTGTTTTTCTTTCAGTGATGCAATGAGTGTTGCATCATTGCAACAATACGAGGACTATTTGTAGCAAATAAGGTGTGTGAGATTTCTGTGGATCCAAAGTTCTGAAGTTGGACCATTGCCAGTGAAATTTACTGGTTTCAGCATCCAGCGATTTTCCAGTGCTAAAAGACAGCCTTTGTGATCCACAGTATTTTGTAGTTGTGTTATTCACATAGTTCACTGAAAGTTCAGAAGTTTTTAGGTATGTTGAATAATATACATTTGTTTGTTTATTGATTCAGTTTATTTAAAAATGGGGTGCAAGAGGTGAAAATCTTGAAGCCCTGAACTCTCAAACACCAAAGTCATCACTTCTGCACCCTTCCTATAGATATTGCATCATCACTTAACAAGTTTTGAATGCAAAACCTATTCATGTGTGCAGGATATTTGTAGTTCTGTGAAAGTCTAGTAACCATTTTTTGCATTTCAATTTTATTCTGTTTTTTCTAGAAATGGTTTTCTTACCTGTAGCTACATAAAACTAATAAATATGCATTAAAAATTTTAATTAGCATATTAGTGGGAATATTAAAGGTACAATTTATCTACATGAGTGTAGGCCATAATTAATGAAAGGTACTGATTTTACTGTAAAAGTTGCATTTGCTAACGTAAATACTAATTTACAAACAATGGCACAAATGAAAAACAGCACAAAAACTATTTAAATCATAAAACTAGTGTTCTCTAGTCCATTTTTGGTGACTTGAAGGGATGTGTTTTCTGTAGGTTTGGTTGGGGTATTTTGTTTTTAATGTGAATTTACAAAGCAGAGGAGTTAAATAGCTGTGTATGACTTGAGATAGAGACTCAGAAAATCAGGATGTCTTCAGGGAGGAAGGGATAACACATGAACTTTTTAAATACTAAATTAGCTCTTGCATTCCTTAAAATGCTGAACATAATAAATATGGGAATTGTCAAATATATTTTTTGAAAAAGGAACTACACCTCTTTCATTAAGTTTATATCTCAGTAGTTTCACTTATTCAGAAAGATGGGGTTTAACAGTGTGATTAGAAGAAAACTTCACTTAAAATGAGGAAGTTGTCCCATTTGTCAAAGTGAGCCTGGATGGCTTTCAGTTATTTCCTGGTGCATGGGGTAACTTTGTAAGTTCTTAAATTTGTAGATTTTGACACCTAATTTACCTCATAAACTAAACTCTGCAGTGTAGTTTTGTCAGATTGAGGAAAACCCATTTCTTATGTCAGTGATTTGGAATGAAAAGTTTATGCCAGTAAAATGAATCTCTCGCCTCTAATGTTGTCTTTAGAGCATAATACATTGGAAGCAGATTACAGTTACGTATACAAGCCCACCAATGTGAAAGGCTCAGGTACTTTTCTCAATGCAAATATAAACCTTTTTCCTAAAACTGCTTCAAAAGCATTAGCAGAAATTTTGACAGGAAAAAAAAAAAAGTTACTTTTCTAATTTACATGTGTTAAAGCAATTCCTGTGCTCTACATCATTCATTTTGACTTTCAGAATTGTGTTAAATAAAACTTGGAGACTGTAGATAAGTAGGAGGTGCATTTGAATAACATTTTTGGATATAATTGCACTGTAATCTATAAAGTAAACTTTAAGTCTTGCAAGTATCCTTGATAACATTTTGATGAAATTCTTTAGTAAGAATGAGGAAGTTAGGAGTGCTTTTCAGAGACTGACATGTAATTTTTAATGTTGGAGGCCTTCCAACATTTAAGATTTTTATGTCCATCTCAGGATATACATGAAAATGTGTGTAAAGATAGTATGTTGTCTTGAGTTAGGTTTTTTTTTTTTAACTAAAAATACACCAATACCATTGAGATTGAAGGACAGATATTTGAATCACTTCCTTGGGAAACCATTAAACACTGTCTGAAGAAGGGATCATATATTGTATGTGTTACTGCAAATAATTACTTGGTTTGCTTCTACACTCATACTGTCTGGAAGAAATTTCTGAAGGTAACTCAAATGCTGGTTAGTCAGAATGGGCTGGCTTAGATAAGGTTGCTTAGGAACTTGCCCTTTGAGTTTTGGGTGTCTCTAGGAACTGAGACTGTACCTNTAAATCTAGCAATGGTCTTATCAAACATTAGCTTTAGTTGTCATTTATCTTATTCCTCACATAAATACACTACTGTCTGTGAGAACCCCGGGCTCAGTCTGGGGTCTTGTGTGGTGGTAAAGTCTCTCCTCCAACCCGTGCTTCCAATGAAAGACTCTGCAGCCTCTTGCTGTTTGGTCTCAAGGCAGTTTATTGCGAGTTGTCTAAAAGATTGTCTTTGCGGGCTGCGGCTGCTTGGTCAGTGGCCCAGGCAGAGGCACACACACACCCTGACATCCTCTCTGTCTGCTGTCTGCTTCTTCTCCCTCCCGCCCAGGGCTGCTGCTATCTTTTATATGATATATTACGTATTATATGTTTACAGTTTTTCCCCAATACCTACTACCTATCTTACAAGGTGCTTTTCTAACTCTAAACCAATCTGTGAATGCCAACATCACCAAGAACATGGAGGCAAGGAAGAAGAAGGAGGAAGACCAGCCCACTTTCCTCCATCTTAGAACTTCTGACCCCCATGTACAAAGTAAAAACCCCCCTGTACAGGTGCTAAAACCCCCCTGTACAATACTAAAAAATTTCCCCTCTACTTTGTAACTACTTTTACTATACTATCTAACCCTTTGTGACTTCTTGTTCCACCTTCAAAGTTGGTAATTCATTCCATGGCTCAAACTCAAAATCACAGCTGTTTCCAGCTGCCTGCCAGGGTCTAAAATGCTTCTGACCAAGGACTGGAACCTCTAAAAATGTCTGAGAGACATTTTGAGTTCCAACAACTGTCCATTGTCTTTATCCTCCATGGCTTCAGGTATTTAAAATCTTTGTTCAACTGTCCTGAACCAGCCATGTTGTCTAACCTATACATTATTTTTACTTATTTTATTTACGTTTGCATTATCTACTGCCTTTCTTTGTGCCATTAGAATACCCACAATTGGTTTGAAACACTTCTTGTCCTATTTCACTTTCTTTCACTTTCATGTGACAGTTCTCCTACAGCATCTAGAGTAACAGTCCTAAAAAATTCTACACATATAGGCATATTTTGCTGTAGTGCACGTTGGCAGAGTTTGTGCAGAACTCATGCAAGAAAGACAGATGTGGATGAACTCCACAGCATGCCAAGATCCTGTGGCTTGAAGCTGGCTACATTCACACCACTAACCATGACTGGCATAGGTGTATCTCAGCACCTGTGATTTTCCCATCAATGATCAGCTTTTCCTTGTTCATCCTAACTGAGATGAAGTTCACTGTGCCAGACATTAAGAAATTGTCTTTTTAGATGTTACCAAAGGGTAACCACTAGCCCAGAGGCAATCCTTGCAAGTCATCATCCCAAATCCCTGTGTAGCTGCAATGTCACATTCCTGAATGACATTCTTCACAATTTTTTAGTCTGGAGGTAAAAAATTTCCATTCTACTTATTTTTCTCCCATTGATGCCATTCCATGTCCAATCTTCTACAGTACAAATCCCTTCACACATTTCTATCCCCGATATTAGACTGAGCTTCCCACAGCCTCCCCTGGCACCTCTGGGTGCCCGGGTCTCAGGCACCCACTGAGCACCTGCTACAATGGGGGCTCAAACCTGGACATTCTCCTCCTGTCTGGGGGTTGGTCTCTTCTCCCAGGCAACCAGAGATGGGACAAAAGAACACAGCCCTAAGCTGTGCCAGGGGAGGTTTATTTTGGATGTTGGGAGGAATTTCTTCACTGAGAGGGCGATTAGATATGGAAATGGGCTGCCCAGGGAGGTGGGGGTACAGTCCCTGGAGCTGTTTAAGAAGAAACTGGATGTGGCACTGATGTCATGGTCTGGTGAACAGGTGGTGTTACCCACAGGTTGGACTCGATGACCTCAGAAGTCTTTTCCAACCTAATTGACTTTGTGAGTTTTCCTTCTGGCTGCCCACAACTCCATTTGCAGTTCAAACCCTTTCGGGATGCCCCCGTTTCCATTCCCAGCGCTCCCTTCCGCCCCGGGATTTCCCATTCCCCGTTCCCAGCGCTCCCCTCCGCCCCGGGATCCCCATTCCCCGTTTCCCATTCCCCATTCCCAGCGCTCCCCTCCGCCCCGGGATCCCCATTCCCCATTCCCAGCGCTCCCCTCCGCCCCGGGGTCCCCGCCCGCCGCGCGCGCGCACAAGGCGCCGCCCCCGCCGGGAGCGCGCGCGGGCCCCGCCCTTCCTGCCGGGAAGGAGGAGCGGGAGGGGGCGGGCGCAGCCGGACGGGAAGATGGCGGACCTGGAGGAGCAGCTGTCCGACGAGGAGAAGGTAGGGATGGCTGGCTAGGTTGTGCCGAGCCGCGCCGCCCTGCTGTCCTCCGTCCCTCCGAGCCGGCGGGGCTGCTGCCGGAGCGTGGCCGCGCAGCCGGGCCCGGCCGCCGGCGGGGCGGGCGAGGTGGAGGCCGGGCCCGGCCGCATCTCCCGCCGCGCCTTGTACGGTGCGGGTCGGGCGGGGGCGGCGCCGGGGCCCGGCGGGGGCGGCGGCCGCTCGGCGCTCCCCCGGCCGCTGCCCGCGGCCGCCCCCGCCCGGCGTGCGGGGCGCGGGGCCGTGGGGAGAGGCAGCAGGGCCGCGGAAGGGCTTTCCCTTCCCCCACCTCCACTTCCCGTTCCCGAGGCGCCGTGCCCCTGCCCGCCGGCCGTCCGCACGCAGCCCCGCGGGCTCCGGGGGAGAGGGGATACATGTCATTGACGAGAGGAAGGAGCTGTGGGGGTGAGGAAGGCTGTTTTGCTTCCTGCCAGGAGGCAGTAATTGGGGAAGTGTGAGGTCAAGGAGCAGAGGGACTGTGTTAGAGATGTACCATGTCCTCTTCTTGTGGCAGTCGGAAACTCAAATTTAAAGCAGATTTTTTTCCAGAAAAATCTCAAAAGGAGCAGGATGTTTTGTGAGACCTCAATTATCACTGCTCCTTGTCATCCTCTGGGGGATCCAGCTTCACAGCAGCTGCCTGTTTCCAAGCTAGGGTGTGGTGTTTTGTGTACATGGTGCACTGCTTCTGCCTTTATATAACGCGTGCTCTTGCTCACTTTCCACTTTAAAAACTTACATTTTCATGTCTGTGGAAGCTGTGAGATGACTCAAATGTGGACGGCATCAAAAATGATAATTCAAACTTATTTGAATTTAGAAGGATGTCTAAAATATCTAAGTGGTTACAGTAAGACAGGTTTTCTGTTTGACCCTGTTTTATAAGCAGAGATGCACTGATATGCCTAGGAGTGCATAGCAACTAGATCTCGCTATTCTCTTCCCAAGAGGTTTGAAGACTCTGCCTTCCTCTGCTTAAATCACATTTCAAGGCCACCTCTGTGTTGATACAGGTGATCGAGAAGTACAAGTGGTAATTGCATTTTTTCTAACCCCTTATAGAAAATAGAAGTAACACTAATCAAGTACATTGTTCCAGAAGGTATGCTAAAAATACTTTAACTACAAGTTATCTTGTTACTACTGAATGGTTAAGATTGGAAGGGATCCTTGGATATCATATTTTAGAGTCATCTAGAGCAGTTTGCCCAGTACTGTGTGCAGGTGGCTTTTGCAACTCTCTAGGGATGCAGACTCCATAGCCTCCTTGGACAACCTGTGGCAATGCTCAGTCACTTTTGCAGTGAAAAAGTGTTTCCTTGTGCTCAGATGGCACCTCCTATGTGTCATTTTACGCCCATTGCTTCTTGTCCTGTCAAATAATAAAAGACAGAATGGCAGTTTTATCTTGTCTCTGTGTGATCTTGGCAGCACTGCCTGTGCTTTTGTGGCTGATGGAGTTAAGTTGGGAACTTTCTTCCGCTCACAGATTTAGTTTTTTCTTTTCTCCAAAAATGAGTGCAGAGACTCTGCCTGGCTTGGTATAAGTGAATAGAATGAACACTCATCCATTGTAAATTTAAATTGATTTCTCTATCAGTCCCATATAAAATTGATTGTACGAGTGGAATTTTCCAAGCCTAAGAGTATATTTTATTGGCTAAGAAACCAACAATGGGTAACACTGCAAATTCATGGAAAATATACATGTGATACCTTAAGATTTTATTTCTGATGCATTAAGTTTTGCCATCATTGTACAACAAAAATGTTATTTTGAGTAACATTTTTTGAGTACCAAAATAACAAAAATGTTATTTTCAATTTTACTTAGCTTAAAAAAAATCACAGCTGGATGGCATTTGACAGACACACCCTTCTCACTCATCCAGTTAGGACTATAAATAAATGCCGGAGTAGATGCAAAGAGGCAAACATTAATTTTCATGAGAAATAAATCACATTGCTCCTTTATATATTTTCCTTCCATGACACAGAACTGATAATGTTGAAGGCTGATGCACATCATGGTGATGATGTAGTTTTGTAGATAATTTCAGTAGAGACATAACTAGAACCCTGAAACTCCTCAGACTCAAGGAGGAAAAAAGGTGAAACAAGTAACAGAATTGGTTTTTTTCTCAGACTTGTAATGATGTATGAGCACAAATAAGAAATAGAGTGATGTAATGATAGGACAAGTTCAGAAAGGTCTTTGATTCATATCTTACTTCGTGTTTAGTCAAAAGATTTTAAGTGTTGCAAAGGCAGTAAGCAGTTCCATGTACCTTACTATTGCTGGATTTAAGATGACTGTGTTTAGCTGTAGCATAATTCAAGTTTGAAACTGGCAGTGTTTAGCGTAATTGAGAATATAGAAAGGGGCATAATTGAAATAGTGGCAAACCAGATTGTTACAATTCAGGTAAATAATATTTAAAACCAAGGAAGGATAAGAGCCAGAAAGAGCATTTCAATATTCAAGACAGTTTTAAGCTCAATTTTGTTCTTCAGATTCCCATTTTTAAAGAGATTTTTGCAGACTTGTTTTTCTTTCAGTGATGCAATGAGTGTTGCATCATTGCAACAATACGAGGACTATTTGTAGCAAATAAGGTGTGTGAGATTTCTGTGGATCCAAAGTTCTGAAGTTGGACCATTGCCAGTGAAATTTACTGGTTTCAGCATCCAGCGATTTTCCAGTGCTAAAAGACAGCCTTTGTGATCCACAGTATTTTGTAGTTGTGTTATTCACATAGTTCACTGAAAGTTCAGAAGTTTTTAGGTATGTTGAATAATATACATTTGTTTGTTTATTGATTCAGTTTATTTAAAAATGGGGTGCAAGAGGTGAAAATCTTGAAGCCCTGAACTCTCAAACACCAAAGTCATCACTTCTGCACCCTTCCTATAGATATTGCATCATCACTTAACAAGTTTTGAATGCAAAACCTATTCATGTGTGCAGGATATTTGTAGTTCTGTGAAAGTCTAGTAACCATTTTTTGCATTTCAATTTTATTCTGTTTTTTCTAGAAATGGTTTTCTTACCTGTAGCTACATAAAACTAATAAATATGCATTAAAAATTTTAATTAGCATATTAGTGGGAATATTAAAGGTACAATTTATCTACATGAGTGTAGGCCATAATTAATGAAAGGTACTGATTTTACTGTAAAAGTTGCATTTGCTAACGTAAATACTAATTTACAAACAATGGCACAAATGAAAAACAGCACAAAAACTATTTAAATCATAAAACTAGTGTTCTCTAGTCCATTTTTGGTGACTTGAAGGGATGTGTTTTCTGTAGGTTTGGTTGGGGTATTTTGTTTTTAATGTGAATTTACAAAGCAGAGGAGTTAAATAGCTGTGTATGACTTGAGATAGAGACTCAGAAAATCAGGATGTCTTCAGGGAGGAAGGGATAACACATGAACTTTTTAAATACTAAATTAGCTCTTGCATTCCTTAAAATGCTGAACATAATAAATATGGGAATTGTCAAATATATTTTTTGAAAAAGGAACTACACCTCTTTCATTAAGTTTATATCTCAGTAGTTTCACTTATTCAGAAAGATGGGGTTTAACAGTGTGATTAGAAGAAAACTTCACTTAAAATGAGGAAGTTGTCCCATTTGTCAAAGTGAGCCTGGATGGCTTTCAGTTATTTCCTGGTGCATGGGGTAACTTTGTAAGTTCTTAAATTTGTAGATTTTGACACCTAATTTACCTCATAAACTAAACTCTGCAGTGTAGTTTTGTCAGATTGAGGAAAACCCATTTCTTATGTCAGTGATTTGGAATGAAAAGTTTATGCCAGTAAAATGAATCTCTCGCCTCTAATGTTGTCTTTAGAGCATAATACATTGGAAGCAGATTACAGTTACGTATACAAGCCCACCAATGTGAAAGGCTCAGGTACTTTTCTCAATGCAAATATAAACCTTTTTCCTAAAACTGCTTCAAAAGCATTAGCAGAAATTTTGACAGGAAAAAAAAAAAAGTTACTTTTCTAATTTACATGTGTTAAAGCAATTCCTGTGCTCTACATCATTCATTTTGACTTTCAGAATTGTGTTAAATAAAACTTGGAGACTGTAGATAAGTAGGAGGTGCATTTGAATAACATTTTTGGATATAATTGCACTGTAATCTATAAAGTAAACTTTAAGTCTTGCAAGTATCCTTGATAACATTTTGATGAAATTCTTTAGTAAGAATGAGGAAGTTAGGAGTGCTTTTCAGAGACTGACATGTAATTTTTAATGTTGGAGGCCTTCCAACATTTAAGATTTTTATGTCCATCTCAGGATATACATGAAAATGTGTGTAAAGATAGTATGTTGTCTTGAGTTAGGTTTTTTTTTTTTAACTAAAAATACACCAATACCATTGAGATTGAAGGACAGATATTTGAATCACTTCCTTGGGAAACCATTAAACACTGTCTGAAGAAGGGATCATATATTGTATGTGTTACTGCAAATAATTACTTGGTTTGCTTCTACACTCATACTGTCTGGAAGAAATTTCTGAAGGTAACTCAAATGCTGGTTAGTCAGAATGGGCTGGCTTAGATAAGGTTGCTTAGGAACTTGCCCTTTGAGTTTTGGGTGTCTCTAGGAACTGAGACTGTACCT